TCACTGAAACTTCTAGAACTCTCACAGCAGTGAAGACCCAGCACAACCAAAAATAAAACTTTTTAAAATTTTTTCAAAAAAGAAGAACTTGAGTCCCACACTGCCTGGGTTCACCAATTGCCTAAAGCTTGGGGATCTTGGGCAATATCCTCACAACTTCAAGTCTGTTTCCTTATCTGAAAAGTGGGGGAAGAATAGTATCTAGTTCACAGGTTCATAGCTCAGTTGGTAAAAACTCTGCCTGCAATGCAGGAGACCCGGGTTCGATACCTAGGTGGGGAAGATCCCCTGGAGAAGGAAATGGCAACTCACTTCAGTATTCTTGCCTGGAGAATCCCATGGACAGGAGGGCTTGGCGGGGCTACAGTCCATGGGGTTGCAAAGAGGTGAACATGATTGAGCAACTAAACCACCATGGGTTCATGGTTGGGATTAACGTACATTCAGCGAGGTCCTATAACAAGCCAAGTGGTCACACCAGTGAGCAAATCATAGTCTCCGCCCCAGGCAGACCATAAACCAATAAATATTTAATACAGCAGATGGTGGGAAGTGCCACAAAGATAGCTAAGGCACAGTAAGGAGGATAGAGTGTCAGGGTGGGGAGGAGCTATTTCACTTCCGGGTGGTCTAGGAAGGCCTTCCTGATAGATGACTTCTAAGACAACCCCTGAGTGAAATAAGGAAACAATTTCATGCGCTACCTGGGGGGAAACTCTTCCAGGCAGAGAGATGAGTGTGTGCAAAAGTCCTGAGTCAGAGGCATGCCTGTCACATTCGTGGAAAGGCAGGAGGGCCAGTGTTGCTGGCGTGAAGTGGGCAAGGGGGCAGGTAGAATAGATGGTGTCAGAGGGGTGACTGGAGACAAGGTGTGTAGGATTTGGCAGCCCACTCTCGGGGCTTTGGCACTTACTCTGAGTGAGATGGGAACCACTGCGGATTTTGAGCAGAGGAGGAAGATGACCAGTGTTAGAGGATTCCTCTAGCTGCTCCCTAAGAATAGACTGTGGAAGGGCCAGGAAGCAGGGAGACCAGTCAGGAGGCTTTGCAATTGTCCAGGTGAGAGCTAACACCTTTGATCAGATTGGGAGCAGTATGTAGTAAGACATGGTCAGATTCTCAGTAGAAATTATGTGTTTGAAAAAAATAATAATAAAGTACAATAAAATAAAATGTGTGTGAGGGGACTTTCCTGGGGGTCCAGTGGTGAAAACTCTGTGCTTCCACAGCAGGGGGCATGGATTCAATTTTGATGGTCAGGGAATTGGATCCCACATGAGAGGCAGAGAGAAGAGAGCGATCAAAGATAATTCCAAAGTGTTTCACTTGAGGAACCGAGTCACCATTTTCTGAGGTGGGGAGGACAATTTATGCAAAGTGCTTGTCATAGATGTGAGCATGAAGTAAATGCTCAGTAAATATTAGCTATTTGTTGTATCGATGACTTTGGTTTCCTGGACTGTCTAAACTAAGTCACCCAAGGCTTTGCAAATGCTGAGCATACTTGGCAAGAATATTATATGTATCATGCCCGAGGAGGTACTATGTTCCAAACATGACACTCCTTACTTAGCAGAACCACCCTGCAAGATGTATTAAAGTCCTATGGGAAAATAAACATTTGTTGAACTTTAACATATCCCAGGCATTGGGTATTTTTGCTTAATCCTGTCTCTAACAGTGAATTGTAAATTGTACGAGAGAGCGCTTACAGCTCTTGCATTCTATTGTGTACACCTGGCACACGGTAGCCACTGTAGTTAGTATTTACTAAATTAACCATCATTACTATGAATGGAGGTTGAATAACTTCCCCAGGTGGAGCTGTGTCTTAAATTACTGTTCGTCAGATAAAGGAATAAATTAAGTGCATATTACATTCTCACTTTAGACAAGAGGAACAGCTGAGGGCAGAGCAGATTTGAACCCAGGATTTCCTGATCCTTGAGCTCAGATCCTTTCCATGGCTACACTGTAGGGCTTCACAGACCCTTTGACTCTGTTAGACAATGCCTAGAGATTTGACAATTTTAATTTCACCATAACATGCAAAAACCCAGCTCTAGTAATATGATCCTGTTTTTGTTTTCATGAAACTGCAGGATGTTAAAGCATTTGTTTTATCCAACTTGCTCAAGGTCATACAGGCTGTGAGGGATGGGAACAAAATATGAATCCAGTCTACCCACACCAGAGTCTCTGTTTATCCTCTAAGTAGGGGTTCTTAATTTGGAGCACAGGACTCTTAGGGGGTCTCTGGGTGCACTTTACAAGACCTTCTTCCTCTCTCATTGTGTGCTTAAACTGTGTGTGCTGAGAAGCTGTATTAATATTTTATTTGAGGAAAGGATTCAGAGGTTTCATTATATTTTTTTTTCTTTTTTCATTATATTTTTAAAGGAACCTATGGTCAAGAAGTTTACTTTCATTTTATCTTATGTATCTATTTTTTAGGATTTTATTTATTTTTAATTGGCTGCGCTGGGTCTTAGTTGCCACATGCCAGATCTAGCTCCCTGAGGAGGGATGGCACCTGAGCCCCCTGTATTGGGAGGGTGGAGTCTTAACCACTGGACCATAAAGGAAGTCTCTCTTAGGCATCTATTTCTTAACTTTTATTTTTAAAACTGTTTTTAGATTAGTAGAAGGAGAAGAAAAAAGAAGGGTAGGAAAGAATTGCAGAGATAAAGTATAAGAGATGTCAATTGTTTCCCGTTGCTATTCATTCATTTATTCATTCAACATATTTGTGTTGAGCACCTGTTACTTGCCAGGCACGATCCCAGAGTTTGGGGATGTTGCAGTGGCAAAATCTTTTGTTTCCTCTGATAGATTATAAGCTGTGTGATGCCTACAAGATAATAATGATGACAATTATTATGTCCTGGTGTTTTGGGAAAAAATAGCGCAGAATCAGAGGATGTGGAGGAGAGGAAAAAGCATTTTAGATAGGGGATTTGTGCTCGGAACCTCTGTTGATGAGCACGGATTCCAACGAAGGGAGCGACCCTCAGTGCCAGGGTGTCCTTCCACAAACCTTTTTTTCCATGCGCTTAACTTCACCTCGATGCTGACCTTAGGAACCAGATAATGCACACCGGAGTGCTGAGCGCATGCTCCCTCTGGCTCCCGAGCTTTCAGGCTACAATGCGCAGCCTCCGCGGAAAAGGTACCGCCCAATAGGAACTTCCTTTTAAGATTGTGGTCCCACCCACCCCACCAGCCAACTTTCTATTTCCGCTTCCGGCGCTGCGGGGGAACCCAGGTTGAAGATGGCCGCGGCAGCTGGATCTCGGGTTTCTGGCCTGTTGGGTAGTTCCCGGCTGCAGCTGAGTCGGTCTATGTCCAGTGGCGCCCACGGCGAAGAGGGCTCAGGTACTGGGACCGGGGTCGCGGGACGGGCCTCAGGTCTGCTGAAGAGAACAGCGGTGGGACTTTGACCTTGGCTTGAGGACTTGGGGGAGGGAGATGAGACGCGGGCGGCTCCCTGAGCGGTCGTACCCCCCTCCGCAGCTCGCATGTGGAAGGCCCTCACCTACTTTGTGGCGCTCCCCGGGGTGGGAGTGAGCATGCTGAATGTCTTCCTGAAGTCGCACCACGGAGAGGAGGAGAGACCCGAGTTCGTGGCCTACCCGCATCTCCGCATCAGGTCCAAGGTACCCCTTGCAGTCTCTTCAAGTGTCTGTTCATCTTTCCCCAAATGCCCTAGTCCAAGCTCTTAATTCTCTAAAACTGTGGGTGCCGGGCTTGTACAGTTTGTCATTTAATCCTCCCAAACACATTTTTATTTTCTCCGGTCAGGCCTGAGTTTTCTTTTTTAAGGTCATACAACAAGTGCCCTTCGGTTTCTTTGAGTCATCCCACCGTTTACCTTCTGATACTGTTAACGGTTGTCAGTTGTACAAAACTTGGAGGTTTGTGAAATTCCCTTAAGCTGGCAGAGTCGGAAGGCGGTGCACGTCTCTAAAACCTGGGCATCTAACAGCTGCTAGCTGCATAATGAAGAGATTGACAGCTTCTGATCTTCACCTCTATGCCAGTTACCACCGCAACTGTGTCATTCTTTGACTCTTGATGTAGATATTTAACTACTGTCTCACTTAGCCCGAGGGGAAAATTAAGCTGGATTCTTAAATTCAAAAAGAATTGATGAGTCTCAGCGCCACTGCCACCGTTGTACAATAGAGTTAGAAGGCATACATATAGCGAAATGTCTTAACCTCACCATTGACATTCGGGGCTGGATAACTCTTGTTGGGGCAAGGGGCAGTCCTGTGAGTTACAGGATATTAGCGGCATCCTTGACTTCTCACCACTTAGTGGTAGTGGTACCCCCTCTTCAAGATGTCTCCGGATACTGGCCTGTGTCTCCACAAGGGCAGAATCATCCTGGGTTGGAAACCACTGCCCTGGAGCAATGGCTTTCAAAAGTACCATGCAGAATAATTGAGGGTATGTTGCAGTTTCCAATCCAGAGATTTGTTTCAGGTCCAGAAACCTGCGTTGAAGTCAGCATCTCCTCCCCTGTACCCACCTCTACCATTCTGATATAGGTGATGGGAGGACTGCACTTTCAGAAACAGAGCACTGAGGTTTAGTTACAAGGGAGAGGCTTATGAGTAAGGGGACTCGAGTTTGCCTTTCCTACTGTCCTCTTTACGGGCTCCCTTGGAATTTATAAGAGCTCTCTTACATTATGGGAGAACTGAAACATCTCAGTTATGTAAAGGACTAATTTCCATTTTGTTTTTATGTATTTCCTGTACTTGCCCTGTTTTAAGCAGTTCGTGGCAGTGCTGAACTGTTTTTCTGGAATTGCCTAATTGCCATCTTCACTCCACAGCCCTTTCCCTGGGGAGATGGTAACCATACCCTATTCCATAACCCTCATGTGAATCCGCTTCCAACTGGCTATGAAGACGAATAAAGAGAACCTGGACCACTACCCAGTGGGGACCACAGCACTGGTTTGGACCACTACTCTGCACGCATGGACCAGAAAAGTACACGGGACCTTAAGCTCACCACCTTGTATCCAGTGATGACCATTACACTTGAGGACCATTATACTGATCTTCCATCCCTTTGCTTATAGCAGGAGGAGATGGCTTAAATAAATAATGTCATGACCTGAGAGTTGCATTCTTTGGTTGTGCCTTTCCCTCAGAAATTAGCTTTAATATTCTGTTTGTATAGTGACGGTCTGTGGCTACTGTTGACAGTGTTTCAGGTCCAGTTCAGGCCTCCAGAAGAACAGTGTTTGTAACAGGCCTGGTCTTGGTTACTTGTGCCTGGGGTGGGTAAAGCAAAGATCTCAATTGAGCTAATTAACAGTCAAAATTGGGTCCTGGCAGACTTTGGATGGCAAAGATACTAGCATTTGCTGAAGGATACTCCCAAAAGTCAGAAAGTTTTCTCCAGAGGTGGCAAGTTCATATCTTGGGTCCTCTCTCAGCTCCCTTCAGGCTGGAACGGTTATAAACTTCTGGAGAAATAAAGGCAGTATGGCAGTATGACACTTCCTGCATATAGTACTGGCTTTTTTTCTGGAATTAAAAATTTCCTGTAGCCATAAGAATTAGGAGAAACAACAATCAATAATAGTTACAAAATCACTTTTTTTTTTTCATTTATTTTTATTAGTTGGAGGCTAATTACTTTACAACATTGCAGTGGTTTTTGTCATACATTGAAATTAATTAGCCATGGATTTACATGTACAAAATCACTCTTAAAGAGCAATTTAATATTTCCTCTTCAAAATTTAAAACCTTTGAAGTACCTCAGATAGTTGGTCCTTTTATGGGCAGGGTAAAGTAAAAATAGCATGAGGGATAATCAGGAAAAAATTATTCCCTCAGCAGCAATTACAGTAAAATTTGTTTTATTCTCAAGGCTTAACTAGACAGTTTTGTGGTAAGATTCAAGAGGCTACAAGGTTTTGACTGACTTGTGGCCAGGCTTATTTCAGGGCAGTTATACTTAACTCCAGTTTGCTGCCTGGCCTCCCCCAGCTGGGTTCCAAATATCTTACGTATAATGGACCTTAGCCTGCCAAAATATAAATGCAGAATGTACTACAATGGCATTAAGGATTGGTCATGTTAAATATGAAGTTAGTATTAAAAAAAATGAAGTTAATAATTAGTAAAGTGGAAAAGAGATAATAGAATCTAGGCTTTCTATAAATCGAATTTCATACTGTGTGGGCACATAGAAAATTTTCTGGGTTGGGTGCCATTATATAAACATTGAAATCAGTGAGGTTTCCATTTGTTATACCATACTACCTAGCTTAGATAAATCTTCATTTTTAAATTATAAAGCATGTAAAACTCCCCCCAGTGTATATATGAGATGTGTGGGGTTCACAGGATGGAAGTCATTCCATAAAATGCACTGAGTTCCGAATATAAACCAAAAGTTAAAATTTATTCCATCTTCATGATTTCAGGCATTACCAGGCAGGGTGAGTAAACAAGGCAAGTAAAGTGATCTCTTCACCCCCCCCACCCCCATTTAATCATATGCAGCATTTTGGCATTTTTATGTATACAGGTTGATTTAATTCATTGACAAGCTGAAAGCTGGCAGCAGCAAATCTTGGTAATTTAGGATCTTCCTCCATAGCCACTCCAAGGATTTTAATTCCTGAACTACACCAAGTGCTCTGAAATGGTGTTCACTGCAGCATTCATGAAGCTTTCACATCTTAGTATGAAATCTGACACCTCTTGTTAAGGTAGGAAACTGTTGAAAGCTGTCTTCCTCTTGGTTAACCCAGTCCACCAACAATCTTTAACAGTTAAATTACTATATAAAAATAAAACTGTGCTTCCAAGCATTACTGAAACTGTTGTTCTGGGAACCCTCTAAGGGAGTATTTGCTCCCTTAGAGAAAATAGATCTTAACCAGTTGCTTCCATGAACAAATAAACCCAGTAGAGTGTACGTAATGTCCTTCAAAGAATGACTGGAGGTCAGGCAACCTTAGTCATCCTGACAAGCTTACTAGAGTTTTTATACAAGATATATTTAAAACTGATCCCAGACCGAGTACTGCAATGATAATCCCAAATAATCCCATTATTTAGAATGCTGAGTTCCTGCTGTGATGCCAAAACCAGAAATCTCAAAGCAAAGAGTGATGGTTCATCATTTTTTACAAATGAGAGAAAGATATCAAGGAGGAAAGGAAATTCCTTCCTCCTAAATTCATCAAATCAATTCTATCTTCAGTTTTAATTTACACAATCCAGAGTCTTCAATTTCCTGATTTGAGGAGTCCACTTTCAAGGTGACTGTCAAGGTCAGGAAGAGCTTTCAGGCTTTTCTTTGCCATGGCCCATGAACTCCAGTCCTTCAATAGGAATCTCCTTCTCCTTTATCGCTTTCTGATGGAAGAAAACATATAAAAGGGACTACATGAAGCCTGAAGTCCAAACTTTAGAAATATTTTGTAGAATATTTTGTACTTTAGGTACAAAAGTAAATCCAACTGTACCATAAGGACTACCAAACATGACAAACCCTAAGTACGATTACGAAGAAATTAACTGTAAGATGAGAGAGACTGAAGAGTTGTGACAAAATTCAGAAGTGCAATTTAAGCAGTATCACCACTCTATTGTGATACTTGTTTAGTCACTAAATCGTGTCTGACTTTTGTGACACAAAAGGCCTATTAAAGGCCCTATTGTGACAGACACAAGTTCAAATCGGTCCCAGGACTTACTGGCTACGTAACTTTGAGCAAGCCTCTCTTTCCAGTCTGTCTATGGGACAAAGACAGCAACTCCACCTGGACTTACTGAGGATGTTTTTTAAGTTAACTAATGGGGGATGCCTTGCCCAGAGCTGTTCTTACAATCAGATCTGTTTCACATTCACTGTGCTGGAATAAAGATGTTCTAACTGGCCAAGAGAGAAAAAACAGGCCAGTGAAGGCATTGTGACAACATAAGGGGACCCTGCATGAGGTCTAACAGGCCAGAGAGACTGAACACCCCGTCTCTCCCCTCAGCAACAGTGGAAAAGTGGACCACCGCAAAATCCAAGGACACTTGATTCTAGTGAACTATGACTACTCGTTTAACTATTATGGGTGTGAGTGTTCCACGCATAAAATACGAATAACTCACTTTGCAAGTTCAGGTTCATCACCAAAGGAACCAAAAATGTTACTGGGCTACGCAGAAACTAAGGTGCTGCAGAAAGATTTACCTTTGACATTCGGAGAGATACCAGGCATCCTGGGTGGTGAATGGTAAGGGAGAGAACTCCTGCCACTGGTCTCATCCAGGCTTTTCTTCCACCCCGCCCGTCCCAACCCCCTCGAGCCGGGGCCCAGGGCAGAGACGAGAGGGCCCGGGTCGGAGCTCACCTGAACACACTGCTGGTAGCGCTTGAAGAGGTCGGTGCATGGGTCCCCGGAGCCGTCCCCCTTGAGGAACTTCTCGGCAAACCAGCGGTTGAAGCACTGGTCGTACTCGCGCTTCATGTCGGTGCAAGCCTCCCCTACGCTGTTCATGGCGTCGGCGTCCGCGGCGGTAGCGGCGCTCTCGGATGTCATCACTTGTAAGCGCGTCGCGCGGCCTTAGGAGAGGATGCGCTACGGAGGCCGAGACAGAGCGAAATGTGGGCGCGGGCCGTGCGTCTTCGGGCTGCGGCGCGCGGGCGCCGGGGCTTCACCTCCAAGGCGGATTCTCAGGTAGAGGCCGGGGCGTCCAGGCGGGTGTCGGAGCGGGGCGGAAGGCGGAGCAGGCCCCACCCGTAACCCACACCCTCCGCCTCATTCACCCCCCAGGGAAGTGGCCGGGTCACAGGCGAGCTGATCCAGCACCTGGAGCGGTTATCGCTGGTGGACTTCGGCAGCCAGGAGGCCGTGGCCCGGCTGGAGAAAGCCATCGCCTTCGCCGACCGACTCCGCGCAGTGAACACCGACGGGGTGGAGCCCATGGAATCAGTCCTGGAGGACAGGTAAGCTCGCGGCCGCGGCCCTCGAAGGCTTGCCTGCGGCGCCTTCGTTACCAGTTAAGGCTGGAGCTTAGTGTCTTATTCCACCGGAGGGGAAAGAACATTAGCGACACGCGAGAACTTGCCCACGGTCACCCTGCGGGTAAGCTCTTTGCCTCGTTCGTTAAGGATCCTCTCCCTTTTAAAATCCTCGAGCCCTCCCAATGTAACTAGGAACAAAATCCAAACGGCTAAGCTTTCACCTTCGAGGCCCAACTTCCTAGAGCGCCCCCTACCCCATCACTCCGACCACGACTTCCTGCCTGTTTCTGCTACAGGCCGGATTCGTGGCTTCTCTAGGTCCTTGAACTTGCTTTCCTTTTTGTTGGACAATTCATTTCTTTGGCCTCTCCAAGCCACTCTAAATTCTCCCTCCGCTCCCTCCAGTCACTACTTCCTTATCCTGTCGGGTTTTCTTCCACTGTTTTTCTTGATTATCTTATTTTTGTTGACTTGTACTAATTCTTATTAGAACGTGAGCCCACATCTGATTTGCTTACTCCTGGATTCCTGTCTCAAAAATTTTTTAGATGTACACTTTTTTTTTTTCTTCACATTTTTTGACCTAGTGGTTCCCTATCTGTGACATATATCTGTGACAGTGCATCAAGATATGTGCACGAGCATTCAGGGTATGCAAATCTGTTGATAATACAGAACAACAGAAAAGAAACAATCTAAGCGTCCTTCATGGCTAAATACATCTTCATACACTGAAATGGCAGTTAAAAATAATGAAATAACTAAATATGCTGATATGGCAAGGTTTCCAGGGTATACTTATTAATAAAAAAGGCAAAGTTTGGAATATGGTATGTGGTTTCATTGATACTTTAATGTGTAATCTATTTTATATACTCTGGTGTGTGTATTAAGTTTTGTTTTGTTCCCTGAAAGGGCATGCAAGAAACTGTTAACCATGGTTAGTGTTAGAGAAGGTGGAAATGCAGAGGGAAGTTTTACCTTTGAATGCCTAAGGGGACAGAGTAATAACCCAAATAGTGAAGTAGTGTAATGCAACCTGGAAGGCTGGGTCTTTGACAAAGCAGCATGTGTATACTGTACTTAAAGTGTGCAGCCCCTAACCACCTCTACCAGTTGTTGCCAAATCTTAATACATTTTTATTATTTTTTTTATTATTTTTTTAAATACATTTTTAAAGGAAACACTTTTTTGCAAAGCAGACTTGTTTGCCATTTGGGAGTGCAGCTTCTTGGGAAGGAGAGGTATGCAACTTATAAAGATAAGGGCAATCTACAACCCTGTCCTAGCCTTTTCCTGAATTTTCATGAATTCCATGAATTTTTAAAAATAAATTCCTGGTAGAAGTGGGAGAAAGCTGCCATTAGTCAGTGCCAGTCAGGAAAGCCACACTTATATGTTAACTGTAACCTTCGTGTTAAGTGCTTGCTAGCCTCAGGACTTCCCCGGGGTTCAGTGGTTAAGACGCTTCACTTCTACTGCAGGGGTCATGGGTTCGATCCCTGGTCCAGAACTAAGAGTCCACAAGGAGTGTGGGGTGGCCATAAAAAAAGAGTCATCCCGTAGAAACTATTCTTTTTCGTCTTAGAGCCAGAGACTGACTCACATGGCATCTCTGATTGTGGTCAAATAACTTGAATACTTAAGGTGTCCCACAGGGTCTTATTTGCCACTTCGATTAGCTCTCATTTCAATCGGCATGAAACTAAATTAAAAGGCTTGCAGATGGAGGTAGACTGGTGCCCAGAGAAACAGCTCCTGGCAGCCGATAGTTGGGAAGAGGCAGAAAGAAGCTAAAACAACAGCAGAACTGTCCCATTGGTCAGCCCCAGGGCCAGCTGAGGCACTTCTTCCATCATGCTGCCATAGTGCTTTCCATGAAATTAAATGCATTGCCCACAGTTACTGATTTAAGTGCCTTTTCCATGAGCTTTAGAGGGCAGAGATTTCTAACTCACAGCTGAAACTCTTCTCAACCAGGGCTTTTCATCTGATTGAGAACACAGCAAGATCAATGGACTCTTTTTCAGTTCTTCCAAGAATGGTACATAACTAACAACTAGACCACATGCATTGAAGTTATCCTACGTTTCTGGACTAAACTCTCGTGTAGAATCCTGACTGAGAAAGATGAGGTGAGGTAGACCTTCATAATTGACAGGCACCTGAAGAGCTCGTCTGGTCCTGTCTGGTGCTTTATGCATGATTCCAGGGTCAAGAAAAGTTAAGCAACTTGCCAAGCGAGGGGTCTGCTTGGCGTGCCGCCCTCACAGAGACTCTGGGTTCAGTAGCCTATGATTCAGAAAATAGGCAGGTGTGGATTTAGTCTACAAACAACTCTATCTTAAACAGTAATTGGGTAGAAATGTGTAACAGTTAAAGAGGTTTATTTCATCCTTCAGGAAACCTTACTAGGAAACCCAATTACCAAATGAGTGAACCTGGGAAATGTTTTATACTGGCTGTGCTGGGTGTTCTTTGAGGTGTGCGAGCTTCACTTGCGGAGAAGCATGGGTTCTAGAGCACGTGGGCTTAGTTGCCCCTCAGCTCAGACCTTTTTAAACATCATTCCGGCAATTTTCTGAACCTTTTTAGAAATAAGGTAACTGATACATGGAAAGGATAAGTAACTTGCATACAGGCCATGTGCAGCTCTGGGGTTTGAGTTCTGCAGTGATTCAGGGGCCCCAGCTCTTACACATTTTGTTATATTGCCCAACAGAAATATAAACTCCAGAAAAGTCCAATGGTGACCCTTACAGATGATTTTTACTGTTCTCCAAGTTTCCTTAAATGAGTATGAGTGTATATTCCTTAAATGGTTTTTTTTTGTTTTTAGTTCTACCACTTTATTGCTACCAACCCATCTCCCTCCACCCTCGTGCACACATGCTCAGTCATGTAACCCCATGGACTGCAGGCCACCAGGCTCCTCTGTCCATGGACTTTTCCAGGCAAGGATACTGGAGTGGGTTGCCTTATATGGTTTAAAAAAAAAAAAATCTAGTGCAACCTTCACTTTTTTGGCAAGAAACTTAAGGTCTAGAAAGATCATAATTGTCCAAGGTCACACAGTTAAGACAGTGCCAGTCCTAGAATAGAGTTCAGCTTTGAACTCTTTGTACCATTAATAAGTGTTTATCGTGTCTCATTCTGGGCTGGGTTCCCCAAAGCAACAGAACCAATCCTTTCCTAAAAGAAACTTATGATTACATCTTGGCCTTCTGTACAGCCTCTACAGATGTTCATGTCACATCCTTGCCCTACTACATTTAGCCCTCAGTCTGTGTCTGGTTCAGAGCAGAAAGAGCTTGGCTGCTGCCCTGTTAGTGACTGAGCATACTGCTTACTTTTCAGCCCAAGTATCTGAAAGCCATCTCATACCTCTTGTCGTGCACTTTCAAACCTTAAAACACTAGTAAAGCCCCACAGATGTGTTCAGCTCCTGTTTGGTTTCACTAGTCTGCCATCTGGATAGCTTAATGAAGCCACCAAGTCCTGAAAACAGTGTAAGATTCTTGGGCTATGTTTGTGGTACATCTTGCAAGGGAAGGTACTTTTACATCCAAAGGTGGTTGTGATGAAGAAAGCACTCATCTTAGGGGTACCAGAACCAGGCTCGGATCCCAATCCTGTCCCTTAGCAGCTTACTTATAACCACTGTTGAGAAAGTTTCTGTACCTTACTCATTTCCCAACCGGGTCACCCCCCCGCCCCACCCCCGAAATCCAGCTCTTTCTTGACCATGGTTAAGGGGTGACATCACCTGTTCTGAGGACCTCAGGCTGGGTGAGGTCCCCTTATCAATTTCCTTGGCAAGCATCGCTTACCTCTTATTAGACTTAATACACTGTATTGTCATTGCCTATCTCTGCCAAAAGCACTTTACCCATAGTAATCATCAAAAATATTAAAACTTGTCAATCCTGAGGAATAATTATTAATACCACTTATCTCACAGGGTTGTTGGGGAAATCAGTAAACAAACGGTAGGCTGTTATTTGATCTGCTGTTGACCATAGCACTTCCATCTTTGAGCAGTGACTGTAACTCGAGAATATGCTGCTGTCTTCTCCTCCTCCCACCCTTGACCCTTTCCACCCATGCCTTTGAAGCCACGTTCTGAGAAGCTAACCTCAAGCTTCTGGTTTTGTAGATGTCTGTACTTGAGATCTGACAATGTGGTAGAAGGCAGCTGTGCTGAAGAACTACTGCAAAACTCCCACCGAGTTGTGGAGGAGTATTTTGTGGCCCCGCCAGGTATGTGCTGCCCAAAATGGCTTAACAAACGGTGCCACAGTAAACTGAGAATGCCGTAGGAACTGCGAGGCCCAGATCTGCTCTGTGAAAGCACTCTGACCAAGTATGAAGTGGCAGTGGTGGCTGTCCAAGGGTATGGACTTCTAGTTATAAGTTAAATAAGTCTTGGGGATGTGTGATGTACATACAGCATAGTGACTCTAGTTAACAATACTGTATTGTATATTTGAAAGTTGCTAAAGAGTAGATCTTAAAAAAGTTCCCACCACAAGAGAAGCAACTGTAACTAAGTGAGATGCTGGATATTAACTAATCCTGTTATGGGAATCAATTTGCAGTATATACATACATCAAATCATTGTGTTGCACATCTTAAGTTTATACAACTATATGTCAGTTATCTCAATAAAACTGGGAATAACAACAAAAATGTTGTATGTACAGGTGGCAAGGTGGCAGTAGATTCTGGAAGTCACATTAACCTCTAGGGGTCAGCTGGTAACAGGAATGAAGAAAACAAAAACAGGACTGGGGTGGGGAAGGCTGTGGCAGATCTGGAGCTCTCAAAGGGATAGCTGGCATGTGCTACTTCTCTCATTCAGGGCCAGGCAGGGATGGGAGCCCAGAGAACCTGGACATCTGGCATTCTGTGCGCTGGTTCCCAAATTTTAAGTGTTAATAGATTTTAAAAAAGTAAAATACCATGAAAGTAAAAAACATACCTGCAAGCCAGATGCATCCTGTGAGTCATCAGTTTGCAACCCCTAGTGTGGAGATTTGCATCTTTAAACCTCACTGTAACTATTTTAAAACTCTGGGCCAATAATAACACCCAGAACTTTGGGTGTTAATCTCTGATAGTTGTTACTGTTTGAGCAGACATAGCCATTGATCATATACACTGTTTCTCACACAGGACCTTGTGTCAGGTTTTGCTTCTTGGGAAAAATTGAGTTCACATAGTCTCTCCTTCCTCTCCTATATGCATACAAATGTCTGATTAGCCTGTCTCTGCTACTTATTGAAAAGTGCGCACTAATTAGGCTTCACTTATAACTGAGGTTCTTTCAGATACTCAGAAAAACAGGGTAATAGCTACACTTACTTCCATCGCTTATTTTTCATGGCAAATCAGTTAGCTCAATGTAGAGCCAGCTGGGAAGGAGGCTTAACTATAACATTCCTTTTTCTTATCTTTTCAAACAGGTAATATCTCATGGTCAAAGCTGGATGAAAAACAGCCCTTCTCACATCGCTGAGTAACTGTTCTGGGAAGGGGCATTCTATAAACATGTGGAAGTGCAGCAACTACTTTGCAACAACTATTTTGTTATTATGAACACTAATGTACCACTTCCTTCAGTCACCTGAAAAAAGTGATGGCTAGGTATCTTTTAGTAACTAATTCTGAAGATAGAACTGGGAAATATCTAGCCAAAATAAGGCACAGTCCCTGATACCAACAGGAAGTGGAAAGTATGGCTGATTTCCAAGGAAATGGATCAAGTATATTCATAGATACTCATAGACCATTCAGTGTGGAAGACTTTATCCCTCCCTAAAAGACTGTCTACCAAACTGCACTTAAGTGAGTCTGTAACTGTTACAGACCTTGCATCCGATCACTTCGTGACAACCTTTTCAGTTGCTATTTCCGTCAACCTGAGCACCCTTTTATCTTTACTAAACATACTTAAATTTATTCTTGGGTATCCACTGTGTTTCAAGGAGAGTGCTGATTTTCTGCTATGGTAAAGGTGCGGGGAGGCAGTCTGGGGAGGTGATGGGTGTTTATGACCTTCACAGTTGTCATTTCATGTGTGCATACTTCACCCCAAACTCACTGAGTTGTATAGCTCAATGTAAAAAAGTACAGCTTTTTACAGGTTGACTATATTTCAATAAAGTGGTTTAAGAAAATAGCCTATGACAATGTAGCCCCCTTACCCCCACTCCCTGCCCTATGGTTACTGAACTAAGCAAAATCCAAGACAGTGGGAGGTTTTGGTTTTGGGCTTTGTCTTTTTTTTTTTATAGCTCAGATACCAAGGACAAATATGAGACAAATTTAGGAGTGATAAAGTGACAGAAACAAAACTTAAATGAGTTTTTTCCCCTAACCAACTGCTAAAGTTGGTTTTGGTTAAGAATTTCCCAGTGATCTTTATGCTGGCATCCACTTTTACAAGGCTGTTTTTAGCCTTCTCAATCCCTTCCCCTATCTGCAATGCTTCCCTTTTCATTAAAGCAGCTTAGTGTACATGGTTGGCCTTGAATTATAAGAGAACCCTGAAACTTCCCTTGGATGTGATGTTCCCAGACCATCATCAGAGCAACTAACCTTATCCCCAAATAAGGAATCCACTCCTGTTCGTTAACCAATTGGGCACAAGTTGCCACTGCAACTCAATGTTTTTTGTTTAAACACATCAGTGTGCCTGTTGGTGAAATCCATGAACACAATCAAAGACAACTACAGCTGTCAGTTATTAAACGTTTAAAATATATTTCTAAACAGAATGGGCCGACTCGGTCACAGTAACTGCTGATCTCCATAGAAGAGCAACCCACAAGGATACAGCACTGATTTTTTTCCCATCATCGGGGTGAAAAATATACAACTCGTTTCTGAACCAAAACCACAATTTATGCAGTTAAAAATGTTTCACTGCTAATATGGCCCTGGTAGAAATTATGTAGTTTTATTTCCATTAAAAAAAAAAAATTAAAAAAATCTCCTAAGACACTAAATCATCAATCTGGAATGTAGACTCTGAGCACAAAGCAGCTCAGTTCACCTAAAAAATAAAGAAAAAATTCCCACCACCTGTCTCAGTAGGGTCTGAAAGGAGAGAAGTAGTGTGGGGAACCCCTGCTTTGGTATGGAGAGTCACGGCCCCTCGACCCAGACCGAGACCGTGAGTAGCCATAGCTGGTGCTTCTCTCTGGATAAACTCGGATGTAGGATGTTTCACCCTAAAAATCAAACAAAAAAGTAAAGGAAAAAATAAGACCTAGAAGAATAAAGCACACCAACACCTAATATGGCCGCCTGACAATAATGTAGTGTTGAGCACCGTTTGGCACAATAGTGCCACAGGCAGGTATTCTTGCTCAAGGTAACACAAATAATAAATGGCAACTCGATTATGTGGTAAATAACTCAAATACTGGCTACTACTGTTAACAAACCTAAATTACTACCACTGACCCCCATAATCTAAGAACTGGAAAGGCTCTCAGAGGTCAGATATATGGTTCAATCCCCTGCCACCTTTTCTGGTGGGTACCTATGGAAGAAGCTGACCAGTATTCAGTACCTCCCAGGTGTCAGGACCTGGGCAAGATGCTTCATAATTTAGCTTCCTGACAAGTCTTATAAGATAATGCTATTATTGGGAACTATTTGCATATACAGGAACCAGGGTTCGAAGTTGCTCAGCTAAGATTTTAATAAGCAGCAGAGGAGTTGTGTCCAGGCAGGCCTATCTCCAGGCTTTTCACCCTCAGCTAGCATTCTCAGATTTAAAGATGCTAAGAGGAAAGAAGCCAGATGCTTTTTCCCCTCAGTGAACGCAATAATTTGATTTACCCGAACCAAGGCCCCGCTCTGTATAACTCAGGAACAGGTGCTGTTTTGTTTCTGCTCCAAATTCAAGTCCTAGAGGATAACCTGAGCAACAGCACTGTTAAGGCATGCAGCCTCCGAGCCATAAAGTTAGGGAAGTGAATCCTTAGAAAAAGAAATGGAAAAAAAAAAGAAATGGGCCCTGAAGTTGATGTTTCCAAACATCCCTAACCCGCATAGCAAGCCAGGACAGTGTAACCAGGAAAAAGAAGTCCAATTGGTGGTCTGGTCTCCGTGTTATCAAAGGAATAGCTACCATGAGAATCAGACTGAGGTCCAAAACAGCAGCCACCTACTTGAAGGGAAGAACATGGAAAGCTAAGTCCCCAGGGTGAGATGATGAACCAGAAAACCTGAGCCAAGGGCTCAGGTTTCAAAGAGGCTTCTGCACCACTTTGGGTAAGGCAAAGTGAAGTGACAACCAGCCCCAACAGCAGTACCTAAGAGGGTAAGGTGATAAGGCTGGCTTGCAGAACCCAGACCAGACCCAGAGGAGGGAGAGCCATAATAATTAGGTTCATGGAGGGACACTGTGGTTTAAGTCAGTCACCACATGACAGACTGCACCAGTATTCTCTCTGGGTTAAAAATATTATGGCTGCAGACTTCTCTCTGCTATGACCCTGCACTGCTGGGGCATAAGGAATCCTGTGGCTTTGTCCACTTAAGACAGATCTTTAATGGTATTATAAGGTCATCAAATGGCAAACACATGGCCTGTTGCTACTTCTGCTAGGTCAGCTTCAGGTGGAGTGGTCTGGGAATGAGCTCCTCAACAGCAGGTGGGGACTCACCTCATGAGAGCGGAATTTGGTTTCATCCAGTTTACGCAGGGCATATTCCATGTCTTCTTTTCTGAGATACTCAACCATCCCCATTCCATCTTTCTGCACATCTGCGTAACAGACGTCCCCAGCTTCTCGCATGTGATCTTTCAGGTCCTGCCAGCTGCCTGAGGGAGGAAGTCCTAGGCGCATAGAACACAGAGAAGAGGCCACATCCTTCATCCATGTTAAGAGCCCCAAGACCTAGGGTCCTTTCCCCATTAGTCACTACTTTTAAATCCTGATGGTCCCCAAATCACAGATTTTGACAAGGGACACAAAACCAAAGAAGAACACTAATAAAGTATCGGTGATAAACCACCATTAAGAAGCTGGTCCTAGGCTACTCTTCCAGAGACTAAGCCTTTCTTGACACAGCAAAAGTCCATCCCATTACAGATTTAGTATCTCTAAGAATTCAAAGCATCTCTTTCTCTGGCCTTCACAATTAATAACAAAATCCCAAGACTTTGAGTTTAAATTTTTCCATTATGAAATTTATCGGTACCAATTATTTCTTGTCTGACTGGGTTCACAGGACATGGGAATTTTTTTTTTTTTTTTTTGACATGGGAATTTTTAAACCATCCAATAAAATAACCAAGGTGTAGATGAAGTAACACAAGAAAAAACCTAAAGTTTGTTTTCTTGTAGGTGGGAATGACTGACAAACTAGACAAAATACCTCTTAAAAGATCACCAACACTCTTCAATACAGTAGGGGGAAAGGTAAGACTCAGACGCTAAAACTAGTCGGGAGTCATACAACCCTACCTGATGTCATGAAAGGGAAATGTGCTCCTGCTCTCAAAGGCTGTGTTTACCGCTCACAGCTCAGGACTGCAGCCATTTCCTAATAGTTTTCTAAGCAGGATTTCAGAGCAGCATGGAGAGAAAAAAAGATATGTATGACATCCTGAAGGAGGGAATAGAGTTCTGGGGTTAAAAACTTACAAAGGGACACAGGCAGATACTGACAGTATCCCTCTTCAGCACCACAAGAGTCTGCTGCAACTGTGTGACAATTCACATCTAAGGTGCCAGGTTCCTCAATATACCTCACTCTGCCAGGGGCCTAAAACACCCCTAACAACCTGCAGAAGGCCCCAGTTTTTTACCAGTGTGTTAATATTTCCAAAAAATGCATAAACCTCTGAGCTTAGCATCTCATCACTTGTCAACACTAGACATTTTGTTCTGTCCTTCGCAATATGATCCCTAAGACTCCAAGTTGTTGTTTGATTTCTTTTTTACATAATTCCAAAACAGTCACAAAATCTGGCCTATTTTAGGATCTAAGGCTAGGTATAATTTGTTCAAATCTGGCTTCTGGAATGTCTTTCTAGCAAGTCAGATGCCAAGGTACATTTCCAGAAGAAAATGTCTTTAGAATTCTGGCTGAAGAGGTTTGGGCATCATCTTCTCTTTTAACACTAGAAAAGTCCTTTTTCATAAGAAGCAAGTTTATGTTCTATCAAGGTTGCACTATCAGTGCAATTTCTTTGGCAAGGTACCTGCCTCACTGGCAAGGCTTCAGACTGTCACTGTGCATGAGAAGAAAACCCCACACATCCTAAGCCCTGAAAACAACAGCTAACATTTCTTGGAGGCCAGACTCTGTGCTAAGTATTTCACATGCATCATCTCACTGAGTTTGAAAGGAACATACCTGAAACAAGAACTCGGAAATCAGATCTTCTTGTAGGAGGCCCACTCCTCCCACCACGGGGCCACCCACCCCGACCTCCGTAAGTCCTGGGGAACTCCACACGAAGCCGACACTGGCCATAATCATAACCATTCCTTCCATAAATTGCATCCTCAGCATCTCTGCAGAGAAAAGTCTGGAGTTAGTGTTGCTCAGGAGAACCAACTGATATCCCTGTGAGAGGCATGAGTTACAAGTATAAAAAAAAAAAAAAACCCTGAAGTGAGAAAAAAGCAAAAGAATAAAAACCAGGAGTTTGATGTACTACTGCTTTGGTTTGAAGATTTTTCATGACACTGGAATTAAACTTTACCGCTGTCACATACAGGGTTTTCCAGGTATGAAATGATAATGAATAAACAGGTAAAGAGAATTCAGAAAAAATAACCTGTTGGCAGATGATTGATTTTGCCAAAGAACAGTGTTTCTTTGACCTTGGGGAGCTGTTTCTCAAAATGCACACCACACACTAGTCCTTTAATATTCTTCCTCAAGGCCTAGTACATTCAGGTCTAAAGAAGGAAAAACTCGTTTAAAAATAGGGAAGGCTCAAATGACAAACGAATATTAGTGTTTTGTGAGGAATAAAGAATTCCCTCAAGTGCACCTTTTCAGCATGGCTTTGAGAACTAAGTTGTCAAAACCACTCTCTGGGTACAGTTTTGCCAAAAAGAGATAAATATTCAATAGAGTAATACTTTTTTAAAAGTCTTTCCTAGGGTTCTGTGAGGAACACCAAGATGGCTCTCCATGATTTGATAGGAAAGAGAATGCCCTGAGGCTGGGGGTACAAACAGCTGAAGACATACTAATGAGAGCATCATTCAGATGTCAGAGGCCCATAATCGCTTATGAAGATTCTAGGTCCAGGATCAAAAGCAAGGAGGACCACATCCAGTTCAACCCTGGCTATATTCAGAATACAGTGGGAGAGAGGCAGCACTGCTAGGGTTTAACGTTGTGAATAAAAATTGACCTCAGTTCAAATCATTATGCTACTTACTAGTAGTTGTCTCTGGGTAAGTCTGCGATCAGGATTTTACATCTAAATGTAAAATGCCAGTTTTGAAAGGATTAAATAAGGTAACTATGTATGCAGTGCTTTGCTTGAAACTTGGCACTAATGTATCAAAGAGACAGCTTTTCCATTACGGAAGGAAGGAGCAGAAAAAAAGACAATGTAGCACATCACAGTAAATTTGTGTTGGAAAGGGTGGAACAGGGGGTTCAAATCCTACCTTCCCTGGGAGCCCTCCCTTTTATCAACTCTATCCTGTTTACTCATATGTCAAAAGTAACAGAGCCGACCTTGTAGGCTGTTGAAAATGCTTAGTGATATATAGTATATTCTAATATATAGTATAGACTACGACAAACAGCAACTGTTGGGAAAAAAAAACCAAAAACACCGGTACTAATTCTTAGAGGTCCAACCTTTTCCAGTTTAGGTGTGGAAATGCCTAGTTCCATTTGTGAGGCAAATGGCAGATACTAGGAACGATTTTTATCAGAATCTTCAGCCATCGAAGCCTTGGGGTGCGTCCTGCCTCCTCATCCTCGGACTCTCCCCTTGCCTCACATCAACCGCCCCCATCCCCCAAGATGGGCAAGACATCCCCCCGGGCAATCCTCGTAGCGAGGCCCGCAGGCGCAGACTAGGCAAAGCGCTCCCCGAGCCAAAGGTGGAAACCAGAGCGCAAGCTCCGATTCACCCCAAGCGTAGTAGCCAGCACAGTGCGGTGGCTTCTAAGAACCAACAACCGCAGTTTTGAAAGTTCCCAGGCCTTTTCTGGGAGACAAGGGCCGACACTGCAAAATCACAAAGACTCCTTCGAGCCCGTTTCCGATCGAGCGCGTCCAAACCCTCGGAGACCTTTATCATCTAGCGGTGCCTCCCCTTATCAGTGAAGAAAGAGTGAAATCCGAGACCCCATCAGACTGTTTTATAAGTGTCCCCAAATCCCTGATGCTTTTACCAGAGCAAGGCTCTGGCCCCTGCGGGGCGGGGCGCGCGTGGATGGAAATCCGGTCCATCCAAGAGCCAGCCCGCTTTCGGCCCTGCAAAGGCATCCATATCGCCCCGCACTGTGCGCCCCGACAACGGCGAGTTCCAGCGGAGGGGAGGGGAGGGTAGAGCGGACAACCGGTCTCCTCACTCCTCACCGAGTCCTTTCCGGGCCGCCTCAGGGGCCAAGCTTCCCAAGCTCTGGACCGCTTCCCCCGAAGGGTGCCTGGGTACCAGCCCCCGAGGCTGATCTGGGCGGGCTTGAGCCCTCCTCAGACCCGGCTTTTGTGTTTTTAAGTCAAAAAAATAGTAATAGAGGAAGTGACGGAGCAAAGGACTGCCTGGAGCCCCACGGTGAGAGGCGGCCTCAGCCTCCACCCGGGGGCGCCCTGAGGGGTCTGCGGTGAGGGGGGGGGGGAGGGGAGGCCCTGGAAGCGAAGGGAGAGAAAGGGAAGGCGGGGGGCCCGGGGCCTCAGGCTGACTGACAGACGGGCAGGAGGCGGGCGGCGCGGGGCCCTCACCGGGGGTCCTCGAAGCGCACGAAGGCAAAGGGCACGAGGCCGTGCCGATTCTTGAGCTCGATCTCGCTGATGCGGCCGTACTTGTAGAACAGGTCCTCCAGATCCTTCTCGCGCACGTCGCTCGGAAGGTTCCCCACGTAGATGCGCCCGTCGCCCTCGCCGCCGCGCTCGTCCGCCCAGCCCGACATCCGCACCGCCCGACGCCGCGGGCCCGCCGCAGCCCACGTCGCCGCCGCCGCCGCCGCCTCAGCCGGTGATCCCCCCACAGCGTCCCCGCGGGCTCGGAGGCGCTCAGCCGCACAGCATTGTGGGAACGAGAGCGGAAGCGGAGCGGTCGGGAGGAGGCAAAAAGGAATCCTCTTAAAGGGGACGCGGCTGCGACGACTGAGCGTGCGCGTGCGCCCCCTGTAGGCGCTCAGGACCCCGCGGAGAGACGACGGAGGGAGATTCTAGAGTCCGGCGATTTGGAGTCAGTTCCTGAGGCCAAGTCCCACTCCCCAGCTTGTCGACTTGGGCAAGTGACTCAGGCTCCTTGGGCCTCGATTTTCTCCCTCTGTAGCGCTGCCTATCTCACAGCCTTTTGTGAGCATTTGCTGAGGTAGACGCGGGTGTAGCGCCCAGGGGGGGTTCCCCGGGCCGTCACTCCTTGCGCGGGGCGCCGGAGGGAGGGAGTCGGCTGGGGCTTCAGGCTGACCCCGCAGCAGCCCGGAGGAGCCCGCGACCGCTAGATTGAGCGGGGCCGTCGCGGCCCTCAGCCTCAGGTTTGTAGTCCCCTGGGCCACTCACTCAATCCCTGTTTTACAGTCGCTTAGAACTAAGAGTGTAAGATGGACTAAAATGAGTGCAAAGAGGCCTGAACTGGCCACCGTAGCTTGGACATGAAGTTTATCAGAGACCAAGAGGGAGTAAAAGAATCAGAACTGGGAATTCCCTGGCGCGCGCTTCCACTGCAGGGTCACGGGTTCAATCCCTGGACTGGCAACTAAGATCCTGCGAGCCTCGCGGTGCGGCCAAAAAAAGGGGGAAAAAAAGAATCATAACTATAGCAACTGTCATTATAGGGTGCGACTTGTGCTTTTATTTTTTATTTTATTTTATTTTATTTTATTTTGCGACTTGTGCTTTTAATACACGATTTGGAGGGATTCCAATACTTAAGGGGCGAAAACAGAGGTATCATAGTGGGTCAGGATTAGAATCCAAAACCACACTTCCAGCCTATGCGGCGAGTCCTTCAGAAGTTGGGGAACTCAGATTCTCATCTTGGAACGTTTCCACGCTTATGTTCCCTAGTGCAGAGCATTGAACCTGGGGATGCTGCGAGAATGAGTCTTGATCAAAAAAGGTTTTTCATGTTAAAAATGAAACCTCTGGGGAATTTGCTGGAGATCCAGCGGTTAGGACGCCCCACTTCCACTGCTGGGATCTGGGTTCTGTCCCTGGTCCCTGATCAGGGAACTAAGATCCTTCAAGCTGCCTGGATTGATGGATGAGTAGATATATGAGAAAGCAAATGCAGTAGAATGTTAACTGTAGAATATAGATGGTGTATGCGTTCAGTGTGTTCACTGTACCATTCTTGCAACATTTCTCTGTGCTTAAAAACTTTCATAATGTTGCAGGGAGTTATGAAACAAAAGCAAGCTCCATTAATGCATAGCAATAGAGAATAAAACCAAACATTTAGCTTGAATGTAGCTGATTTGTAGTTATACCACCTCTGAATCTTTTACAATCAAACAAAAAAATCAAACATCTACATATAACTACTGAGTGTATAGCTTTTTGGAAGTCAGATTGATGGTATATGTTAAGGTTTGATCATATACCTCTTGACCCAGTAATTCCACCTGTAGGATTTTATCACAAGAATGTAAGAAATCCTCACAAATTTTGTACGTTCATTGCATTCTGTGCAATTAAAAAATTAAACTCCTGATAATAAGGAGGTGGTTCAGTCAATAATATTGAATGTTACACAAGTATTAACTGATGTTTTGACGGATATTAAGGTCATGCTAATTTAGTTAAAATTAAAATGGTGCACATGTACACATATAACTATATATTCTGAAGGTATCTATTAAACTGGTTGACGCTAATTGTCTCTAAAAAATGCAGATGTGAGAACTTTCAATTTAGATGTCACACATTTCTATAAAGTTGAAGATTGTTACTGCAACTGTTTTATTTTTATATTCTAGGGGTAAAAATGGAAATAAAATGTTATGCAATATTGCTCAGTTCTGTGCAAGAGAATGCATCTTTTTTTTTTTCATTGCTAACCTCCCAAATGTTTGTGGAGATATCTCTTGATGCAAGTGGTTTCTGTATTTTTATTTGTGCTTTTTCATTTTATTGTCTGTAATTGGCATGTACTACTTTCATAGCTGGAATAAAACAATAAATTATTTCTAAAATAAAACAATCAGAACCATTTGTTGTATTCTGGATTATGTAAAGCTTCTAGATGTTCTTTGCTGCCCTTCAGAAAGCAAGCAGGAAAGAGTCCTGGCCAGAGTATATAGGAGCTTATGTACCCTAAAGGCATCCTTAAGTCCAGAGGCCTCCTCATTTGAGGGGTGTGCTTAGTTTGTATTAACACCGCTCTCTGAAGCCTACCGCTCCTACATGGTGTGGCCTGGAACATGTTGGTGGAGACAGTTGGGTAGTCTCCTGGAGAGAGAGACATGGAGTCAGCAAAGTGACCTAATAAGACTCTAGGTATAAATAGTAATGATTCAACTTGTATTGTGCAAAGTTTTGCAGCTTGCGATTACCAAAGGCGTTCATACCTAACATTGAAAATGTGCCCAGATAGGAGCTGTGACCAGTACAGCCTTTCTGGATTAGGAAGAAGACAGTTAAATTGCTAAGAGGGAACCCCAAAGGTGGATTTTGTTTCTGTGAGCCCAGGTACTAACGTTTGCAAGTGAACTTGGGCTTCACCCAAGTGAAGCAAAAATTATGGTCTAATGCTTAAGGGGCCCCTGGGCTCCATTCTCTACCAAGGCCACAGACACTAGGCGGGGACACCCTTTTGAGCTTTTGCTCATCTAGTTACTCAGCATTATCAAGGGCATGCTGTAATTTAGGCCCTGTTTGCATGCAGTAATAATCACTCTGACCTGTTGCTAATCAGTCATTTAGAGCACAGCTGTGATGAGGGTAAACTGCCATGAGACTACCTAATGCAGTGTTAGAGATGATAAGAAAGGCTTCCAGGAGATGTTTAGGTTGAGCCTAAGGGACAGTAGGAGTTAACCATAGGGAAGAAGGAGAAGGTTTTTTAGACAAAAAGAACAGTGTGGTCGATTGCCCAGATCATGAGATTATGGCAGAATAGGGGCAATCCCCCCATCGCCCTACAGTATGGCTGGGGCAAAGCGTTCAAGTAGGAAAAAGGCCGGGGTGAAGGAGCTAGGTCTGGGGGCCTGCAAGGCCTAGGAGACCGTTTCATGGAGCTTGGACTCTACTGAGGGCAGTGAGTAGCCATTAAAGGGCTTTAAGGAGTTATGTTGGGATGAGACCTTCTCAGAAGGAAGTGGCAGCCCAGCAGATGGAAAATAAACAGTAGGGGAGGAGACTAAGAGCTAATTTGAATGGAGGGCAGCTGCAGGATAGTAGGGAAAGGAAAGGATGTCAGGGAGAGATGTGGCAACAGTGACCATTATAGGAGAGCTTCGGGAAAGAGGAGAAATAATTAAGGGGTCAGTGTAGGAAGTGTTGTTGTGTAATCGCAGTGTAAGCCCCCTCCTGTGACTTCTTTAAAAATCTGCATTCTCAGAACTTCCCTGGTGGTCCAATGGTTGAAACTTCGCCTTCCAGCGCAAGGAGTGCAAGTTTGATCTCTGGTCAGGGAGCTAAGATCCCACATGCTTGTGGCCTAAAGACCAAAACATAAAACAGAAACAATATTGTAACAAATAAAGACCTTAAAAAAGTCTGCATTCTCTGTTAATGATTTTGATTAGAGCTGGCTTTGTATTGTTCTGGAAAGATAAGACAGTGTGCTCAGCTTAGCCTAAAGGTGAACATAGGTAAGAACAGGGGTAGCCCCAGGTGGCCTGTTGACTAGCGAGTTAACACGAGGACGGAACATAGGAGTGGGTGCAGGGAGGCCCCAGTGGGCAGACCACAGCTGTCACCCAAGCAGGAGATGTCAGTTGGCTGATGAAAGGTGATAGTGTGCTTATGTGCTCAGCCACTTAGTCGTGTCTGACTTTTTGCAACCCCATGGACTGTAGCGCACCAGGCTCCCCTGTCCTTGAAATCTTCCAGACATGGATCCTGGAATGGGTTGCCATTTCCTCCTCCAAGGGATCTTCCACAGTCAGGGATCAGACTTGCATCTCCTGCATTGCTGGTTGGTTCTTTACTACTGCATCACCTGGGAAGCCCAAGGGGAATGGAGGTGGAGGCTGAGGAGATGAGATATCCTAGGGGCAGAATCATAGGATTTGGAGGTAGACTGGTCATGGGGGCTGAGAAGGAGGAAGAGTCCAGGCTTCTGGCTTGGGGCACTGGCTAGGCAGTGGTATCATTCCCAGATGGTGAATGAAGCAGATGGAGGTAACCTGCAAAAGGATGGACAGCAATGAGTTCATATACACGTGGAGAATGCAAGAAGGAAGGATAAGAAGTGTAATGACTGGGCCTTCCCTGGCAGTCCAGTGGTTAAGAATCCATTTTTTCACTCCAAGGGGCATGGGATCAATCCCTGGTCAAGGAAGTAAGATCCCGCACGCCACACAGTGCAGCCAAAACAACAACAAAACCTGTAAAAGGAAAAAAAGTATGATAGCTTTGGGCTATATGTCCCCTCTCTACTGAAAACAGAATCCCAGGTGCATGAGCAGGTGATGGTGGGTAGGCATTGGAGACTTCAGGTACATGGGATAGACCTCCTCTTCCTATAGGGAGGAGCTTTCATTTAAACTGTGTTCAGTCACTCGGTCATGTCTGACTCTTTACAACCCCATGGACTGCAGCTCGTCAGGCTTCCCTGTCCTTTACCATCTCCCAGAGCTTGCTCAAACTCATGCCCTTTGAGTAGGCAATGCTATCCAACCATCTCGTCCTCTGTCATCCTCTTCTCCTCCTGCCCTCAATCTTTCCCAGCATCAGGGTCTTTTCCAATGAGCCAGCTCTTCACATCAGGTGGCCAAAGTATTGGAGCTTCAGCTTCAGCATGAGTCCTTCCAATGAATATTCAGGGTTGATTTCCTTTAGGATCCCATGCACAGTCTAAAAAGGCAAACTGTATGGACGGTCAATAAAATTTATCATTCCTCATATGATGGTAAGAATGGCACCAGTGGGATTGTCTTCAGATTGAAAAGAATCCTTTGACCTTGACAGACTGTTAAGAGTTAATGCATTTCCCACAGCAAGCCGTGCATTTACTCCCTACAAGAGAGCAGGGTAGTGCCCAATAAAAAATAATAAGAAAATAATTAACACTGAGGATAAAACATTCTACGAACCTGCCCATCTGGTTTCCTCCCTTTGCCTATGACATCAGTCCCCTCTGGCATTCAGGCAAAATGTTTTCT